CACATTCACTTGGTTCCACGGGAAACCCAACCATCTCTTTTTTGGTCCTCTGATCACAAAGCTGGTGGGCCACTTCCATATCGAATTTACGGGACTGACGGACGCCACAGCCCAGGACGACTCCACTCCTCTCATCCGGGAGGTGCTTCACAACGCACTCTTGTTGGCCTCTGCTGGAGGCGATCCTGGGTGGATGGGCTGTCCATGCCTCCAGATGCGGATGAGGATGAGGATGATGATGATGAGGACTTCGTGTCCGGCCGTACATACGTCTCCACCATCCGACCTGAGTGGCACATCCTCAACCTTCTGATCACCCGCTCCATCGTCCCCAACACCACCGGTTCTCACAAGATCCCAAAGAGGGTGATGTACGCCATGTACTCGATGGGGCACGAGGACCACATGTTGCACTTGGGTTCTTTCATGGCCACCACATTCACTTGGTGCCACGGGAAACCCAACCATCTCTTTTGTGGTCCCCTGATCACAAAGCTGGTACGCCACTTTCATATCGAATTTACGGGATTGACGGACGCCACAGCCCAGGACGGCTCCACTCCTCTCATCCGGGAGGTGCTTCACAATGCACTCTTGTTGGCCTCTGCTGGAGGGCGATCCTGGGTGGATGGGTTGTCCATGCCTCTAGATGCGGATGAGGATGAGGATGAGGATGATGATGAGGACGAGGAGCATGAGGACTACACCGGAGCCCCCGCTTCCCCCCAGGGGATCTTCAGCCACGACAGAGACCCGAGCGAGGCCAGTCCTCCTTCGGTCCTTCTGTTCCGTCGATGGACTTCTTCACTAAGCAGTTCTACCAAATGGGGCTCCAGTTTCAGCAGCTTGGGGTCCAGAACCAGCAGCTCATGGACCATCAGGTCCAGTTTTACCAGCAGTATTCGGCCCACCAGGCCGAGTACCATTCTCGGATGACGGTTCTGTACGAGCGCCTCGACCGGATGGAGGCTCAGCAGGTAGTCACCACTGCTCGCATCGAGCAGGAGCAGGCACGCAACCGCTGGATGATGGAGTACCAGGAGCACCTGCTCCAGTCCTGCCATACCCTTTAGAAGCATCACTGGACTACTCGGTGGGACCACTCACTGCCACCACCGATATACGGGGTCGACGACCTCATGGATCAGATTGACTTCGACCAGCTCGAGTAGGTTGTACTCGCTGGCTCGGTTGTGCTTTCTTTTGTTTTGGTTCGGAGTGCAAACTGGCTTTTGTTTGGTTTATTTTCTTTTCTTTTGGATGATGTACTATTGGACTTCCAACTTGACCTAACGTATCTGTGCTTGAGTGATTGTGTTTTCTTTAGCCGTGTCTTTGCACTGACTGGTCCTATTTCCAGTCCTCTTCACTCCTGACTGCTCCACCTTCCAGTCCCACTGCAGTCTGAGCATATCGGTAACATTGTTCCCTCTTCTCCATTGAGATCAATGTCGAACTTAAGTGTTGGGGGGATGTTTTGATTTGACTGTTTAGATCTGTTTGTGTGCTTGGAGCCTAGTCCACTGTCCAGATTTTGATTTGAGGACTCCAAGTACGTGTTCCTTGCAATTACCTGCTCAACATGCTTTATATTGACAATCTCTATAGTAATATGCAACCTAGGGAGGTAGTGTAGCACTATGGAGGATGTTGATGCATTTAAAAAGTCTCCTCTCTTCTTCATATTGTGTTGGTTGATTGTGTGAATTAGTGATCCTAGGACACTTGAATTGTGTGGCATTGTGGACTCTCTACCTGTCATGGACTCCTGTATCATGTTTTGAAATAAAAGGTTCTAAAAAATGTGCTTTAAAATAACGTCTCCCGTGCGAATAGGGCAAAAGTGTGTAATGGGAGACGGGAATCTGTTCCCAATTTCCACCTACTACCTCCAGCCCCCTTAGATTCCTTTCCCCCGCACGAGGCTCGAGACATCCGCTTAAGTTTGAGAATTAGGGTAGACATACCTAACTTAAAATTATATCCAAGTTACGGGTAAAATAGCTCGGGTACCACTTAAGTTTGAGAATTAGGACAAACATACCACTTAAATTTAAATAGGGCGGCGGGTACCATTAAAGTCTTCAAAATGTGCATCCGTCTAGTTTTCCATCCAACCCAAAAGTTTAATTATTTTTTGATACCCAAAATTTTAAAAACAACCAAAACTATATTTCAACAAGTTTTTTATCTAATATAGAAATTAAAAAACCTTCTAAACATAATATTACTAAAATGACTAATCAAAATTGTCAATAAAATAGATAAATTAGTAAAAATAATAAACACATATCAAGAAGAAGAATAAATATATAGAATATAATAATAAATATTTAAAATCCATATTAGAAGATCTATTTAAATCACTAATCCAATTAGAAGTACTATTAAAAATAGTTAAAATAGAACATAATCGATCATCAATACATCTAGACCAAAGAAGGATAAATGGAACACAGTCAGAAAGAATTAAACATATTCCAGTAATTAAAGAAAAAGTAGAACGAAAAGAGAACGGAAGTAACCAAGTAATAAAAAAAAAATTCTACAACATTCCGTAACAAACCTAGAAAAGAAAATACGACTATAGGAAGAGAATTAGAATTAGTAAATTTAATTAATATGGAAAATCTAAAATATTATATTAGAAAATTACAATGATATTTAACATTGAAAATTATACAACATTAGCATGATGTACGAGAATTAAATATAACATCCTCATATTATTTATATCGATAAAAAATTCATAGGATATATTTGCTTCAACAAATTATTCAATTATTATAACATATAATGGTAATTGAAAATACTTATAATGATAATTGATTCTACATTTTCTATTCAAAAATTGGTTTTGTATCAAAGTCTTCAAAAGAAGATTTCAACTAAACAGAATTCATAAGATATATTTGCTTTAGAGAATAATTCATTATTAAAAAACATAATGATAATTAAAAATACTTATAACGATAGTTGATTCTAAATTTTTTATTAAAAAAATTAATTTGGTATCAAGTCTTCAAAAGAGGATACCAACTAAATAATAAAAATTGATGTTTTTAATAAGTCAAAATGATTTTTTACAATAAGAAAAGTAGAAGGACCAATTAAGAAATTTAGAAAACATAATATTCCAAGAATATTCTGTTAACTTTAACGGAATGCACCTGACATTAAACTTAAGTGGTACCGGGTGCACAAATAATAGAGTTCAGTGGTACCCGACGCCCTATTCAAACTTAAGTGGTATGTCTGCCCCAATTCTCAAACTTAAGTGGTATCCAATGTATTTTACCCGCCAAGTTACTGTAGGAAGTCCCTGTAACAGTTATCCATATTATAAGGACTGTTATAATAAAGACTATTCATATTCTATTAAAAAAACCTATTCGTATTATTCATGTTATATATAAAATGACGTTTTGATTTTTGGATGTGGATTGAATAAAAAAACGGGTTGAATTTTGATGAAATCCGCATTCAACCCAAAACTAGTCAACACCAAATTTTTTTCACTTTGATCGATTCAAGTCGAATTGAATACTCAAGGATCTAGGTTCAATTGTCAATCCATAGTGTGAGATCTCATTTCTTTCTATCTCAATTCTCACTTATATTTACGCATATTTATGGTTATATTTCCGCAACTTGAATTGCCTTGCCCTTCTCGCAAGACATATGGGATTTACTAGACATATAAGAGCTTGAACCAACAAAATGTTTAAGACGAAGGAGAGTGAAATGCAGGGGCAGCTTGTCAAGACGTAAATCTCTTGAAGGCCAATCTGAAATCACCATCAAGATCTTAATTTGTGATTGATGCCATCAAACTACAAACAATAATCTAAAATTTCAATTACCTTCAGTTATATAGATTAAAATGTATTTTCCCCATAAGTAAATTAAATTAAAACGAAGTGAAAAACCACTCGACAATTAATTCACCCTGGAACATCTAAAATTTTAGATAATTATTGTGCTCTAAAATGTGATATATTTTATCCTCTCACATTCTCACGCTACCACGAGGACAACTTTTTGGGGTTCAAATCCCTTTGTTCTTCCTTTTCGATTTCATTCGTTTATCAAAGACAAAAGTCTTCTCGCTCAAACACGATCGCTAAGCCCCTCGCCTCTACCATCTCATTCCAACAATATTTCTGAAGACCCCGTCACTGTATTGTGATTCAAATATGGTTTGATCAAGAGATCGAATATTCAAATCGTCATGATTTCCAATATTAACTTTCGTCCGAACATACTTAATTCCTTTCCCATAAATTTCTGTAAAAAAGAAAAGCCATCGTATCATTAGTAGATTTTGGGGTTGCAGTACTATGAATTTCATAATAGCGACGAGGATTTAAGAACCCTTATTACTTAACAAACACTTTCAATACCAGTCACGTAGAGCAGCAGCACCACAGGCTTCCATCATAGTCGGACATTTGAAATTACAAAATATCACCCAAGTTTATATCAAGTCAATAGTTATGTTGATAATTCACTTAACAACCGCAAAATTCTATAGTAAACTTTTCCATTCTAATATATAATTAAGAAAGAGTAATTTTTTATTATAACAAGAAGCTAAGGTGGTATGAAAGGTGAGAGCTCCTTTCCATCCACATGCTAATAAATTTGCAATGCATAAAACAAACGGGCCAAAACTTGAAATTCAGCCTGTTTGACCGACCCATGCCAAATTCTAATTATTCTTTACTTTTAAACTTTCTATTTGAAAATAAAAATAGTGAAAGAAAAGAGACGACTACAATTCGCCATTTGCACATCATTTATTCGGGAATAAAACCATAGAAATTCAAAAGGAACTGAAAATGTTTAGGATCGTTTTAATGTTTAAAATAACCAAATAGATCTTTATGTTTAGTTTTTTACTAACAAATACCAAACGATTCCCTATAAAATACACTATAATTTGATCCTTATGATGTCAAATAATTATAAAATATATATTTGAAATGATAAAAATTGGACTAATTGGGTTGGTCGAGGTTTGGGTCCCTGCCGATGGCCCAGACATTCACAAACAGTCTGGTCCTGGCTGGAATCTTGTAGCCCTGAATTTCACAGTCCCGGCTCGACTCCCTCATGATTAGTGGAGCGGCTGGATGGAGCATCATTGTCTCCTTCACGATCGCTTGGAGGTAAGGAAGGTCCGGAATATCCGACTCCTGAACCAATCTAGATTTCCCCACCACCGAATCGATCTCCTTCCTTGCTCTGTTCAGTATCTCTGGGTGGTTGATCAGCTCCGCCATCGCCCATTCTGTAGTGATGGCGGACGACTCCGTCCCCGCCGCAAATATATCCTGCATAAGAAGCAAAATTAATCAAAATTCGTAGTATATATAATAAGGTAACGGAAAGAAATTAATTCGTATCTCATTACGCGCGCACGCACCCAGATGAAGGCCTTGATGTTTTCACGAGTGAGTTTGATCTCAGAATCTTGGTCCTCCTTTATATCGAGCAACACATCAAGAAGATCTTTCACCTCGCCACCATTTCCCCCGACCACCGTCGTCTTCTTCTTCTTATTCATTGATGAGCCCATAATCGCTGAGTTCGAGTGTCGTAGCCCAACACTGCTGCCATAAGGACGAGAAATAGCCCAGCCCATGCCGAGAGAAGCTTGTCGTTGTAGGAGTCCGTTTGTTTCTGTTAGTTGAAGGGGTTGACATAGTTGTTAGGATCTTTTGAGTTTGGCGTAATAAGTGGAGCAAGTTCAGCAATGTGGTTGCTGAACGTGGGGAGTAGTTCCACCAAGTTAGGATTGCATAGTTTCTTTTCAAACGTTAATGTATTTAAGTTAAAGTGGAATGAAATAAGAGGCAAGCAGAAAATTAGTAGAAGAAACCCTGGTATTTCTCGCCAAGAAAGGAGAACCTGGTTCAATCCCGCCAAGAAAAGGGATCCATTCATTCATCCAATCCATCACGTATCATTTGGTAGCTGAGTTCGAGTGTCGTAGCCCAACACTGCTGCCATAAGGACGAGAAATAGCCCAGCCCATGCCGAGAGAAGCTTGTCGTTGTAGGAGTCCGTTTGTTTCTGTTAGTTGAAGGGGTTGACATAGTTGTTAGGATCTTTTGAGTTTGGCGTAATAAGTGGAGCAAGTTCAGCAATGTGGTTGCTGAACGTGGGGAGTAGTTCCACCAAGTTAGGATTGCATAGTTTCTTTTCAAACGTTAATGTATTTAAGTTAAAGTGGAATGAAATAAGAGGCAAGCAGAAAATTAGTAGAAGAAACCCTGGTATTTCTCGCCAAGAAAGGAGAACCTGGTTCAATCCCGCCAAGAAAAGGGATCCATTCATTCATCCAATCCATCACGTATCATTTGGTATCAGAGCGGTTGATCCTTTATTTCGATCACGATGAGCTCAGTGAGACCATCAAGAAAGGAACTCATCAATCGGGCACTCGAGCAGATAGAACGTGCCATGGCTACCTGCAACGTGCTCATTGCGACGTATGACAAACACAGGCCAACAACAACACCACCGAGGCTGCAAGTCGAGATACTAGCCGCCATTGAAGAGGAGAAGATCGCCATCCTAACCGTAGCAGCCCAACAGGTACCTGCTGCCGCTGAGAGCACACCGCCGCAAGCTGAAGCTCTAGCCGAGTCGGTAGAGGACGAGGAAGAAGATGCTGATGGCGGAAAGCCTACACCGCCGTTGTCTTCCTTCCCACTTGCCGTGCTGACGAGTGCCTCCGAACCACCGCCCGCCGCTGAAGAGGGAGAGATCCCCCTCCTAACGGCAGAATGCCAGTTTTTCCTCGCCAACATCAGGAGCGAACAACCAGTCCTGGCGGAAGAGGCTGAGCCGAACCATCTGGTGATCAAGGCGGCGGCCGCACTGGAGCTGTTACTGAACACGACGCATTCCGATACCGTTGTTGCTGTAACCATGTCGTCAGGGACGATCTCCCACCCGGCGCCACTCACAATCGGTGATAATTGCAGGACTGATGGCTGCAAAGTTAAGTTCAATACATGGAAATTTCGGAAAAAGAAAGATGGAGGTCGACGTCAATTGCGTCCGATTAGGGTAACTCATAATACAGGGACGCGAGTTCTTAATATGTTTACTTCTTTGGATCAACGCCTAAGTTCAAAAGGAGTGCAAGTTTTATCGGTAGCAGGGGAGTCCTTCCATTCTCAACATATTGGGGAGGGTAAATCAAGGAAACGTACATGGAGGTATCGGCAAACAATAGGGATTAAGAGGTTACGACGAAAGGACGGGGTTGTGGCGAAACCAGAGATCCGTAAAGGGAAAGAGTCCGATCACATGATGCTGTACTATTTTATTACGATAGTTCGGGGCAAGTACGGGAAGTACAGTAGCAAAGATAAGAGGATCGTGGTTAAGCTCGGGATGGAGTACGAGATTGCATTGCGGGTCGATGAACTTGACTTCTCGGAGTCATTGACCAGGCCGCCGTTTAAGGAATTGAACGTGGGTTTGTTCAAGACGACTTTGAGGCCAGTGAAGCTAGGGAAGGTCATGAGGTGGAAGAAGTCGGTGATGGACAACATGTCGGGCTGGGAAGCAACTAGCCGATCAGGAGCTGGGGATGGTTTGTACAATGAAGCTACTAGTGGGGTTGAGATGCGCGAGCTGATTTGGAATTTTGGGAGTGTTTGGTTTTCATTTAGGGTTGAGCCAATGGAAGTGCTTCGTGGTCCATTGTTATTATTTGGAGGGATAATAAAAGGACAAGAAACACGTGAGATTGGAGAAGTAATGCATGGAAGGATGGTATGGGAAAAGGAATTTCACAGCTTGGTCTTGGCTGTTGAAGAAGCTGTTCGTGTTGGAGTAACCCATTCCTTCGCTGTAGAGATGAAGCTCTTGTACGTAGAAACGGTTGATGTTGGCTTTGTTCGAGTACTTCAAAGGAGTTGGAAGTTCCGTATACGCGAAGGAGACTACGTGGAACCTAACATCAGTCTTCAACGATCACTATTTCCAAGCTCGGCCTTGAGGACAAGGCCGTTTTTCAGGGGATGGTAATGATGAGCCCATAATCGCTGAGTTCGAGTGTCGTAGCCCAACACTGCTGCCATAAGGACGAGAAATAGCCCAGCCCATGCCGAGAGAAGCTTGTCGTTGTAGGAGTCCGTTTGTTTCTGTTAGTTGAAGGGGTTGACATAGTTGTTAGGATCTTTTGAGTTTGGCGTAATAAGTGGAGCAAGTTCAGCAATGTGGTTGCTGAACGTGGGGAGTAGTTCCACCAAGTTAGGATTGCATAGTTTCTTTTCAAACGTTAATGTATTTAAGTTAAAGTGGAATGAAATAAGAGGCAAGCAGAAAATTAGTAGAAGAAACCCTGGTATTTCTCGCCAAGAAAGGAGAACCTGGTTCAATCCCGCCAAGAAAAGGGATCCATTCATTCATCCAATCCATCACGTATCATTCATCCTCGCTTCCACGTGCTCCTCGATGATCCTCTCCATCATCGAATCGAACCTCTCCCTCAAATCCTCGAGCCGCTTCCCAAACCCTTGGAGGTCCAATCTCTTGCAGAACCAAACGTAGTCGGAGAGATTGAACTTCCCGGTGAGCTCCGCCGTCTCCGCAACCAGCTTCCTCACCCAATCCGCCTCGTCCGCCCCGCCAGAGCACCTCTCCCCCATGGCCATCACCGAGATCACGTTGTTCGCTACCCGAATCAGCTCCCCTCCGACGTCCATCGGCTCCCCTGCCTCCGCTCTGTTCCGCGTCCGCTGCAGAGAGCGCCCGATCTCGTCCCGCCGCAGCGGGAGCATCCGGTCCAGGATCCGCCCGCCGAGCAGCTCGGACACGCAGAGCTTCTTCATGAATTTCCAGTACGGCCCGTAGGGGGCGAAGAAGAAATCGGCCGAGCCGTAGGTGAGGTAGTCGACGGCCGCGGGTACCGGACGGTCGGAGAAAACAGAGTCGTGGGTTTTGAGGAACTCTCTTGCGGTCTCTGGCGACGAAGCCACGACGCAGGGGACCGAGCCGAGGGAGAGGCGGAATAGCGGGCCGTGACGGCCGGCCAGCTTGTGGAGGGCCTGGTGCGGGATCGGAGCAAGTAGGTGGAGGTGGCCGATGATGGGCAGCGCCAAGGGGGCAGGGGGGAGACGACCCTGCAGGCTGCCTCGTCTTTTGCTTTTGCCCAACAGGGTTTTGATTATGGTTATGGTTATGCACAGCAGGGAGATTAAACCGGCGTAGGACTGGAAAGTAGCCATTGCTGTGATCATGGGATGGGAAGATGGTTTTGATTGAGCTTGGGAGCTGGGTCTTTTAAACTTGAGCAGCCGGCACTGAAAGAATCAATCAAGTCATTGCTTTAACAAACATATTGATACTTTATGTATCAATTAGACATACCTAGTAGTGTTTACCTCTTTTTAAGTCCATGTTTAAACGAAAATTACTTTATTATTAAATAAACTAATGGCCATCTCAACAGTTAACATATACAAAGTTTGTGTAAGGTCATTTATTTTGTATGTAACCGTTTAATCAAATTTGATACTTTCTGTGATTTAATTTCTTTATTATTAACTTAAATATTCATGATTCCATCAACTATGAAAGATTACATAACATTATTCTATAAGAGATATGTATATTACAAATACAAAAGATTACATAACATTATTCTATAAGAGATATGTATATTGCAAATACATTATGTAAAGCTAATGTATCACTTGAACATACTTATGACGTAATTCATTTTTACTGATTAAGACACTAGGTAAAACTTATAGAGCTATCTTATCCAGATTTTATGAATTATTTTATTTCAAATAAATTATTAAATAAGTGAATAAATTTCAAAATATAATTTTTTTGTTGCCGCTGCAAAGTGCGGGCCAAAAGTTTAGTTTATTAAATATTTTAATATATAAAATTCAAGGTTGATTGCTACTATTCATTAGTGGCTAGGGATGGCAAAGACTCGGGTCGGGGACGGATAATCTATATCCGTTACCTTACTCAAAGTAGTTCGGGTTTTACCCATACTCATACTCGCATAACAATAGGACAAAAAAATCAAACCATGCCCATACCCATTCGGGTTTCGGGTATCCATGCGTAATTTTTTCTCTTTATAACTACAACCAACATCTTAACATTCACACGTATACTCACATTACATAAGGGAAAAAGTACGACAATAAATTACTAGAATGAAGAAAATTAATTAAAAACATTAAATTTTATGAAAATATTATATTTGTATGCTAAATATAAAATATTTTGAGAAAATAATGATCATTTCTAGACAAAATACATATGCATGTGTATAATCTGGCGGGTTCGGGTTGGATAGTGTGAAAATCGTGTCCACCCATTGCCTGCAATATTCGGGTTTGGTTTTTACCCGTCCCCACCGAAAATCTTTCGGGTTCGAATTTTACCCTACCTAATTAGGTCGGATTCAGACGAATATCCACGGTTGCAAATAATTTTTCCATCCCTATTAGTGGCTCCCAAACTCTTCTAAATGCAAGTGGACAGCCTTTATTTGGTTTGCTTTCCTTCACTCACATCTCCTTTCTCCTAAACTCTACAATTTTAGAAGACAGTCTTTTACCTCATTCTCTCATTTGAAAACCTTTGTGCTAACATATTGTTCATTGGGTGTACATCTATTGTCCTCTAAGTTTCCCATCTCAGTTATTGTTCAAATTTTCAACTATTGTTCACTAGTTTCTCCGCGACAGCTATTATCCACTGAATTTTCATCTATCGCCTGCTGATTTGCCCACCAATCCATAGAACATCTCAAAATACTGTCGGAGGAATTCTAAGTTGTCCCCACCCGTCGTTTATCACGGCCGCTATCGAATCCATATATACCAGATCTGCTCTGCCTAATCCTCGCCTTCGCCCACCAATTCACATCTCATCCCGAAACATTGTCAGCAGAATTCTAAATTGTCCTCCTCCATCGTTTCTCACAGCCGCTACTGAATTTTTGCCATTTTCAGTTCCTTCTTCCCGATACATCCACTATCTATTACACTTTAACAAAATATCTTAACATTCGGAACAATTTCAAATAATCTATCCTTCCATTAAAGTAACAATTGTCATTCCGACCCAAAACCCGTCAACACTGGATGTTACCGACTTGAAATGGATTGAATCGGATTGGGTATCCATGAGTTCTGTTCAATTGTCATTCCTAACCACATCCAATCACAAGTTACCAATCTACTAGAGTTTAGGGCATTAAATGTCATGTCAGGCGCCCTAAGCATGTCCCATTTACTAGGGGGCCGACAGACAATTAATGCTCAGTCATACACATATCTTATGGTACCCATCGACGCTTTATGCCAGGAAATCTAACTCATATCCCATCATAGGATAGACCGCATATAGGCATAATTTGTGTTGTTGTCAGCAGAGATAAGCGATTCTGACGAGGTTGGCTTCCTCTACTTTCACTAGGTTGGGCCAAATGGGTTTCTCCTTGGGCCTTGAAGTCTAGTATTACTCAACACGTGTTTCAACAATTACCCCTTAGAAAGGAAACGCGGTGAATTTTGCCCGCTAACAAGTTTTATTTTATGTGTTGAGCAGTCCTGCCTTTTCTTTACATGAGCTCCCATCTGCCCCTTGCCGTGCGAGATGCATAGGTGACACGCCTAAAAATAAGTGTCTTTGTCATTTGTTCGCTCCATTTGGAAACCAACTCAATAGTACAAATGTTATGAAAGAAAGCAAAAGAACTCACCAATTCAATCAATCCAATAGCAGAAGTGATCTCCCTAATTGGTCATGACTCATGTGGCCTGGCCACTCTGGTTGACGTGACCAATATTGTGGTTGACCTATTTGACTATATGTGATGGATCTTATTGACAATGTGATTGGCCGAAAAACCTCCGCCGAAAGTCACTTGTGGACCATGTGGGCACACATATTTATGTATTAACATATGAACATTTAAATTCAAACCTCAAACTCATAATATCCCAATTCCTAATCAAAATTGAAGCTACTTTTGATTGTACCACCAACACCTACAAGTACTGTTGAAAGTTCATTTTCAGCTTTAAACTACTTTAAGAACAAGATTTGAAATGGAGTAGGTAGTGATTTAATGGATCGATTTTCCTTCATGGTGTATTTATCGTTGCTGTTATTTTTTAAAAAGACGAGCTTACATTAATTCCATATATTTTCCCAGAATTTTATGGGTTGGAGTCCCTGTTGGAGTATAATAGATAAGTTTGTATATATTTTTTAGATTTGTATTTTTTGTAATCTAAATCTATATTCAACAAAAAAAAAAAAAAAAAGAACACCGATGTTCTCACTCCGACACTCCGTCGCTATCTGTTGTAAAGGCGTCACATGGCTTCAAATACTTTAGAATATCAGAAAGACATCTCTGGCAATCACTACCTTTAAGTTTAACATGACAAATGGTGTTGCCTCGATCGAGCGGCGCCGGGACTGATGTCTGCAGTTACTGTAACGATTAGTAGTAGCACAAGGACTTCAGCTGCAGTTAAAGAACTGCCCCACTAAGAGCGATGAAATGATGATCTCACCGCTTTGTCAGGTTCAAGATTGGTGCTAGCATCTCCGCGGCAAACGAAAGCATGCTTTTATAGGCTAAAAATGGTGGAGGCTTCTCTTCCCTCTCCATTGGTAGTGTTTTAGTTTCTTCTCCCTTCTCTCCTTTGTTTATTTGTTTGGCCACTACCTTGGTAGAGGATCTGAAAAACGGTCGTCTTAGTTAGTCTCCCATTTCGGCGATGTTCTCCATGCACGTTTTGACAATCTCCAAATGATTCCTTCGGCAACAACAGCGGTATCATCCCTTCGGCTGATAGCATTGCATCTCAGGTTTAGGGCCAATACCTCCAGTCCAAAATGGGGTATAGGCTTCTGCACTTTTTGCTTTCTAGTCTGCACTGCTTTCGCCTCATTTCGTTAAGGACTAAGGTATGAGAGAAAGGTTTACTCTAGACGTAACTAGCACACATTGTAATATTGAACCACATATATACCGGTGCTCGATCCATCTGGAACCAACTCAATGATACAATGTTATGTAAGAAAGCAACAACAACAAAAAATAAATCACCATTTCAATCAATCCAGTAGCTGCAAATTCAATGAACCAGTTGTCTTTCCTGTTCTGTTTTGCCAAGCGTATTGTCATGTTCTATACAGAGATCATACACCATACATATTTGCAGGGGGGGACAATACATAAAATTAAAAGTAATATAATAAGCACACCCTCTACCTAGAGAGGGGAGTGGAAACCAAAAAATCGTATAAACAAAGGAAAGAGCACAAAATGTTCGACTAAGCTTTGAAATCATCCATCAAGTTTTTCACATGCGTGTTCTTTCTGCACTGTGTATTGGGCACAAGTCTCGTCTCACCTTATACGGCAACTTCCTCTTCTTTGAGCCTAAGAAGCACTGGTCTTTGCTCCTCGTTATTGTTGTTTCCAAAGTTCATACCTTCAACGGGTGCAGGCTGCTGCTGCGGTTGAGAAACTGCCGTGCTTTGAAGCCTCGATTGTGCAGCTGTATTAGCGCCACTGTTTCTTCCTGCAGGGACGTCGTGATTGTGCTTCCCCTCGTACGTAGTTATAACGGCCTTGGGGTCGGCTGCAGCTCTCTCCACGTGCTTACGAACATTGCATCCTGCGCTCGTGCATTTGTAGTAGCTCCTGTTTCACAAACAATTTATCTCTTGCATCAGCATCTGAGGTTCTCGGATTACAGAGACCATTTTGTCATATATGCTTAAGAGGATCACTGGTCAATGGTCATGTAAGGACTGGATGATAATTCTCAACTGAAATCTACTGGTTCTAACCAGTAGATTTCAAAACCTTCGGGGAAAATGTCCTGTCATGTTAATCAAGCAATTAACTGCAGGATAGTGACATTATCATCTGACTGCGAATTTTCTTCAGTAGCTTAACAAACAAGGAACTCGGAACTGAAAATAATGAAAACCTTAACCAGCTTTAAGCATTCCCATAGCAACATAAGACTGAATTCGCAAAAGTCACTAGTAGGAACACACAGGATTGCTACATGTCCCATATATATGAAGGCATGATGACAAGAAAAATATGGATAAAGAGCAATAAAATACCTAGGATGAGGGTTCCCTTTCACAACTTTCTGGCCATACTTGCGCCACCTGAAGCCATCATCTAAAAGATCAACTTCACTTCTTGTCTGAACAATGATTTTTGCCTCTGTCACTGTTTTGTGAGATAAAGCTACCTCGGATGTTCCCACGTCCATTTGCCTGAGTAGTTACACCATGAGAAACTTCTTAATGCACGAAAAGGTAGCCATATGACATAAGGAGTAAGCTATGCAGAAATCTTTAAGCCGTCAGTTGGATGAGGGAATTGAGTGATAATATTAGCTTTGAATTCCATCAACTGAAGGAAATCGTAAATTCATTTGCATGTCTAAATAGGCTGATCACAACTTGATGGAATTGGAGAATCTCTCCTCCCGAATCTCTCAATGGAAGGTAAGATTGGTCAGTACCACCAATTTAGTAATTTTTTACCCATATTTTACAATTTCTTTGCTCAAGTAGTCCATCCGAACAGCATTTTCAAAATCTATCATGAATTGAATTCCATCCGTTTAAATTCCAAATATTTCACCATTCATCCCTCATTTTAAGATTCCAACATCCAAATGACCTCTTAGCCTAAAAAGTTACCTTCTCTTTGGATTAGGTGCATCATCAGCACAATCTTGTTCAGCTGCAATTGGATCGCCAGCAGGTTCCCCACGGCCACTAGGTTCAGGTTGGTCTGCAAAGTTCATTTGACTGGATTCCTTATCCCTACCATCACCTGAATAAGGCGGTGCTCTTTGATCAAGTTTATTAGTATCACCAAGCTGAGCTTGTGTAACAGGTTCACTTTTAGCCTGCGAACTGATGGCCACATTTTGAACACTGTTGTCGCCCCTGGCACGCTTATTCATTTGAGGAAGCTCATGGTTATGTTGGCCTTTATAGATGATTTCAGTTATCTGGCCTTCTCTGGAACGCTCTACTTTCTTCTTGACAGGGCAGCTCGGGTGTGTGCATTTGTAGTAGCTCCTCGGAAATTCACTGCCCTTAATTGGCTTGTGCCCATATTTTCTCCAATTATAGCCATCATTACCAGGTTTATCAGCAGCAGCAGCAGGAGGAGGAGGAGGCGTTGTCTGCGATTTCCTATCCGAATGAGAAACCTCAGAAGATGGCTCCACCACAGTAGCTTGAGGGTTAGAAGTTGTGGGTGGCATCTGCCACTGTGAATCCTTAGCAGCAGCAGTATAAGATGGTTGCATTGGCGCTACTTCCAATGGAGCAGTCCCTGAATAAGGTTGATATTGGGCTTGAATGTGCATATGCTGAGATTGAGCAGCAAGTGCAGCTTGTGCTGTCACCTGTGCCAAAGCTTGTTGGTGTGACATCCCAAAGGGACTCTGCATACACATAGATGAACATATATAAACACCTCGAAACGAGTTTTTGTGTCCACGAATGTTCTGCATATCACGTTCTGAGAAAGTTCAAGATATTAAATGATACAATCAAGTCCTAATTTCACATGTAACAAACATTGTTTCTGTTCTCACATGTCTGCAAGTCTGCATATTCCAAGTACAAACATTAGCCACAAGAAATCAACATAATGAAATATCTCGTCCATCTATTCCCAGTAATACATGATGGATAGAAGATATTTCATCTTAAGCCATATTGTGCAAACACATGATATAGTTATATATGCATCAGAACATGCTAAGGCAATGAGCAACTTCTAACTCCTCAACTTGAAACATGAAATCACAACAAGATCGAAGAAAACATAGGAGAAAATGACAGAAGGAAACATCGTTACTTAATGGTTAAACAGAAAGACCATACATTTCCTAAGTTTTGGAGGCACGAAGTATATCTACCTACAATCGAGCACAATTGCTCCAAACAAATGAGGGACATAACTCCAGTTTCCATTAGCAGTCTAAACTGGTGGCCAAATTCTTCATTTGTGAAACTGAAAGATACAAGCTTTACATAAACTCGCCCTGTTTCAAGCGTTATCTCAACAATCTATAAACCTAACAAGAGGAACAGCTAACTAATCATCCCAATTAACTACCAACCTACAAAACCAGCCAGAGAAGAATAGCAGAAAAATTACCTGAGGGAAGAACCCAGGCGAATTAAGCAACCCAGAAGGGCTCAACCCAGGTGGAACCGTAAATAGAGGAGACCGAGGAACCATTAAATTCATAGGCCTGCTCTGCTTGAACCCAAACCCACCACTTCCAGCCGCAGCAGCAGCATCTTGTGTAGAAGACAAGCCACCGCCGGCGGCTGTGGAAGGAGGGTTTTGGGGAGAAAAGTCAGGGTAAAAGGGAGGCCTAGCAAGCGGAGAAGCCATAGCTCCCGCGAGAAGCTGGGAGAAGGACCGGCAATCTTCTCCACCACCCTGGTAACTGTCGTTGAAGAAACTTGAGACCAAAGTCATGGGCCCCGGGCTCAGCCCGCCGGAGAAGAAAGTATCCATCGACGGCCTAGGAGGAAGGGTGATGGTTGTAGGCCGAGGCAAAGCCGTTGTTGATGCGGAAGAATCTCGTTTCTCTGCCATCAAACTCCCCCTGATTGGAGCTATAACCCACTAACTGATTTACTATCTGCTCCGATCTCAAGTCGTTTGCTTAGAGTTGGAGTTGTTCCGACAGCGTAATCGTCGTTTGCTTTTCTCTCAGAAAATGAAATGGAGATTCAGAGGAGGGAAAAGGGAAGCTTTTTCCTTGCTGGGTGTTGACTATTCAATCTGCAACTCGCAAAGTTTAGTTTTTTTAATATATATATATATATAATTAATTAATATCTCGCTGTTGAAGAAGAAGAGGAAGACGGGAATTGATTTTTGAATTTTTTTTTTTTTGTTACTTATTTTTACAATTCAACTTTTTTGTCTTTTAAGCGGTTTATTGCTTTGTTTTGTCTTCTCTAATTGATTACTAAAATAATTGAGGCATGGAAATTGACGTTTATTAGGGGGAAAATGTTTATTTCAAAAATCACCATTTATAAGGTTGGATTTAAATATCAATAAGTCATCATTTGCTTTATGTCTTGCACGTAGTATAAAAAAGAATAATATTTTCTTCTTTCGAACTTTTTTTATTGAAATTAGGAGTTCCAAGAGTTGGTTGAAGTTGTTCATGATGTCAAGACCGTCTGGGAAGTAAGGGTTAAGCACATTGTTATGTAAACATACCCATAAAGAGCCAAATACCTTATTGAAATTGCTACACCTAGTCATTCACAGTATGTGATTGTGGTTGAGACTAGGAGTTGTATGGTTCATCTTTTACAGGTCCGATTAGCGCATGTATATAGAGAAGTAATTTCTTGATTGATTATATAGTTTTTCTAGGTCATCATTATCTAAAAATAATTTTATCTTAGTTTTGTTACTCCTTGGAATATAGCTATATTTTGATTATAACAAATTTGAAATTCCCAAATAGTCGATTTATAAAGATTAGACTTTATTTAATCGCTTTATTTAGAGAAAAATGCAAAAAAATCGTAAATATCTTTTGATAAATTGTTTATTTGTCACCCATATTTATGATGAAAGAAATTGATGATATGGTGGGGTGTATTTGTCGGTAGCCAATTAGCCATCAAGAACAAAACCCTCAACTTGTCATAAGACAATAAATAAAATAAAATATCCCACCCAACCTAATCCAGTAGTTTCCCATGGGCCACGTCAACTACAAAATGTCATTTTCTTCCATATGCTCCAACTGTCACGTGCACAAAATACTCCTTCGGAGTTGGGAGTCGTTTGGCTATCGACCAAGTGTTGAACTTGAAATGAATAAATTGTTTAAGAAAATATAGGGTTTGTAAATTGCAAAGTGTAGAAACTTATTGTTCTCAATGATGATTTTGTCTGTTAGATTGATCAGTAGTAGAGAAATATTGAAATAGGTTAAATGAATGGTCGATGTCACACCATTTTGAGCGGGAAAAAAAAATAGTCTCTCAATATGTGTAGTTGTCATCGTTTAAATAATTGAAATCATAAAATAACTACCGTTAAAAATGTTAGAGAGTGTTCAATAATGACGAATTTCAAAATCATCATAATATGAATCGAAAATCCAACTATTCGAACGTCTGAGAATTCATTTTGTCTTAAATTCTAACTAAAAAGTGATTATCAAATGATGTGTTAGGCTAAAATCCACTAATGGGGTTTGAATAAAATTCATAAGTTAATTTACAACATCCAATCCACTCATGGTGATTGGGTTTATTTCATTGTTTTTTTTTTATGAATATTCATTGTTATTCCATTGTGGGAAAGAATAATTAATTTAAGATTTGAGATGTTTCACAAGCTCTGAAAACCAAATTTATCATCACAAGTAAACGAATCCTCTATACTGAGAAAAAAATGCTAGTTACTTGAAGATCATCCACAAGAGACACTTCAGTTACCATGTTTACATGACTGAATGCAAATGAGTGTTCAAATTACTACCGCGTACATATAACAGTTATAGATAAAGTCATCACGAGATGTCTAGTCCGACAACAAAACTACGTGCTTACACAAAAACCACATATACAGCGTACCCAAATTCGTACAAGAGAGCATAGAAACATGGAAATGATATGCATAAATTTGACTCATCTAATTTCAAGCTCTCCAGCTCCCTCACTATGCCGAGAATACTAATTTCAAGCACTCCAGCTAATTCTCTCCCAAATAACAAAATTCCACCATCATTTTGTCAATTCCGGTGTTGCAATATACTATTACATGGCGTCTGTACTCAAGCTTTTACTTGCCAACACGACACAATCAGAATCAAAGACTTAAACTTTAGTCTCGGAGAAGTATGTGGATGATACTGCCAAACCTTCAATGTCATAAGTTCTAACAAGTCTCTGTCTCTTCCCAGGAGATTCAAGCCAACAAAACTCCAGATGAAACGACTTGGATTCCGCAACGCTCTTTGCTATATCGCAAGGGCATCCCATGTACATCCCTCCCGGCAACAGAGTTATCTGGTATCCTCCGTCATAAATGATCAGATTATCCACCAGGGTACCACTCCAATGCACTTTGGTCGCAACGTTGTTTGCTCTAGTATTCGATGTCATATCCTAATGACAGTTTTCAGAGAGGTATGTAAGATACTTAAAAGCTTGAACTACCAGCCTCTGCTCACAACAGCTGGTGAGCAAAGCAAATGAATCAGTCTAAAATTTCCATAACGATCAGACAATCTAAATTCTCATGGCATGATGCAAAACCCCTGGATGAGAAGGGATCCTGGAAAGTGGATGTGTGCGTTAAAGTGATGGTCGTACCTGGATGAGCTGACCCTTATCGTTCATCTCAAGTAAAGAAACAGAATCAGCTTCAGTAAGTGTTGATCCATAAACACCACTTCGCTTTGTCATTGAATGACCTTCCCACCTGCCAAGAAACGGCTCAACCCTTCCAGCAGTCTGCTGGAATCAATGCAACGAAATCCTACTGTCATAAAAAGTAAACCAATGCTATATCTCCTTGGATCCATAAAGAACATTTCTCAGTTGATTTTAACTTACTCCAAGATTGCCAAGTGAAGGAGGAGGATGATTCCCATCCCCTCTATCTTCCAGGAACACAAGAAGCATATCTAGGTCACCTCCAGGGTTCATAACGTGAAAGGCTCTTGCCCGCCTACTATCTATGTCTTGCGAATATAAACAATTCTCGCATACTATAGAAGGCCTTCGTGAAGGAAGCTTAAGATTCCTACAGATAGAAAAACAGTTTTCTCTTATATAAAGCAATGTACTTTATTTTGTTTGTCATGGCAAGTAAACCAAGAGATAAGTGAAAGCAAGATCCTTTCACCTGGGAGACTCTTCTCCTGTGTCATTTTCACCCAACACACCTTGCCTCAAAACAGTCTCCAGCATGCCAGCGGTCTGGTACCTTAAGGCGAAAGCCCTTGTGTCGGGGAAAAAGCCAATCTGCAGACTAATCATTATGGACATTCAGTAGGAAACACCAATAGTATAGAGTACAATATAAGATGTTTCAAGCACATGGTTAAAAGATCATTAATTCAGTAGCATTTTGCCGTGAAGAACGAAAATGAACTCACCTGCTGATATCTGTCGACAGTAAACATATTGGTCTCTTTGATCTTGTATTCTGCCCATTCCGGATCTTCGTTAGGGTCTGAGACTGACAATGGAGGTTGTTTTATGTATAGCCTGATTAAAATTATGACCAGAGAAGTAATTAGATTATATTCACAGTTGCAGAAAGAACTCAGAGAGATGAACAACGAGAAGCAAACAGGTGAAACTACGATCTGCTTAGTTATTTAATTCACGTTGCAAACAAACGCTTGAATACTTAAGATTATCCTTATAGCCTCCATCAATTGGAGGCAAGATTCATAATTGAAACTCTTGACATAACATCAAAAAGATGTACACAGCAACTTATGAGTTATGACCGAATGTCACAACCAAATCCCAGTGTCTTTACCCAAACTAGATTTCTCCCGAGGACTACTTTTCAGGCAACCAACCAAATTTGAAGGATCAATTTGATAGAATGCAACGGGACAGTTAAACACAAAGAGCGGAAAGTAGAAGCACAATTCTAACCCAAATTGTTGCCTCAATCACATTGACGAGCAGAGAAGAGCCACTCGAGTAAATGTAAGGAAAAAGCAAGTTCGAGTTGCCGTCCATACATACGTTTGAATGAGGCTCATCAGATCATCTTCTCCATAGGTACTTGCAGAGAGCCGCGTACTCACCCTTTGCATCAACTTCCCATGAGCATTGAATTGCTGGAGGAAGGTAACCCCAAAGAAACGAACAGCCAAAAAATAAACCCTCTAGTCAGAGCAAGCAACAAAGAAGAAGGAATTGAAAGCTCGTCCGGAATTCTCACGTAGAAGGAGCCGTGCCATTTGCCAACGCTGAGTTCAAAGAACCGGTGGAGAGTTTCAACGGTTATGGGCTCCGTGGCATTGGGCCCATCTCCGATAGAGGCAGATATATAGGAGGAGGAGGATGGTGCGTTAGGGCGAGGGGGACGCGGGCGCCATGAATGGGAGTTTGGAAGTGGGTTCCGAGCAGAGAGCTTGGGGGATTGAGTTAATGGAAGGAAGGAGAGAGCAGAAGAAGAAGCCATGAGAGGAAGGTGGTTTTTTTTTTTTTTTTTGGTGTAGGTTTTCGTATGGTCGTTTCAACTTTCAATGGGTGTTTTCTTATCGGCAATGTGGGGTTCAGATTAACGGCCCAACAGTTCTGTAGGCAGCAACGAACAAAAACAAATAAAAGCCCAAAAATTCAGTCCAGTTAAATCCAATCTCATTAATACATAGTATTATGCAGAAAATAAAAAGAAATATAGTTTTAAGCTCAATTTTGGGATTGGACTAACAGTCTTGCACAATATTTATCTTCATTCCAGGAAGAAATCCGTTAAATATGATAAAAGTTCCCTAAGAAATGTGGAAAAATGATAGTGACTGCTATTTTATTTTCTCAGTCTTCAATTTTGGTTCGACTCTCGTCTGAAAAACTTGGCTTGTTTTGTCGAATCCTGCTCAATCAAATAACATGACGACACCGTATTAAACCATAAAATAAAAATACATTAACACAGTATTGCGCAGGGGAAAAAAAATCAACATATACAGTGGGATTGGCATTGGACAAGTCATCCCCAAATTCACTCAATAAGAACCAACCCACTATGATGAGGATAAGTGTAGTGGGCAGGTGCGCGTGCTTTAAGTTCATCCTCGTAAAATCAACGTAAAAATCTCCAGATCCTGATGAATCTGGAGATTGTACAAATTAGGATATTGTCACGATGGCGGAGCAAAGGAAGAAGGAGATGAAGAAGCGGCGAAGGGGCCGGGAGGAGAGAAAGAATGAGATGAAAAAGGATTTGATTTGTGTTGGTGAGGGTAAGCTTGGATTTTATTAAAAGTAAAGGAACAAAATTGAAAGAAGAAAGAAGTCAAAGAGGGATTTCGAAATAATTGAGGGCAAATCTTCCAAAAACAAATATTTTGAGGTTTTTTAAATCTCTAGTCTTGAAATTTCTAGGGGTGAGCAATGGGATGAGGCTGGGTACCCGTTCCATTTGAAACGGGTATCCAATCCCATTTGAAGAGAAAACTCTATCTCATGTCCCAAACCCGTACGGGTTAACGGGTACCCATTACCCATACGAAACGAATAATAGTTACCTGCGGGTAACTCATACACACTAAAGCCCGGTCCTTATGTCGGGCGCATAGAAAGTGAGTAATATTTATAATAACATGAAAGTAAACAATATTTCGTATTGTTAAAAAAAAGCCAATATTTCTGTTCTTGGCTTCGTTCGAAGGATGACTGATCCTTCCAATGTCTTTGTATCTAAACGTTTTCCTTTTTTGAAGAGTGATCTATTGGCAAATTTCGTATTAATTGATACTTTCGGTATACTTGGATGTAACTGGAAATGCACATGTAATCTCAAAAATATATTCCTATAATAATATGATCTCCAATACGTAATAGTATGAAGTATTATGCATTGTAGAAAAGTGGCTTTCACATATCATCTTTCATGTTTCAGTCATAATTTCATGTACAAATGCCTATATTACCTTTTAATTGCATTTTGGCTTCAAACCATAGTGCCAAGCAGAGAAGCTGTGAGAACAAAGCGGGATGAAGCAGACATGAATGGAAGGACACACTAATGGGTGGGTAGTATGGGTGTCTGTAATATCTAAATGAGTATTAACGGGTAATCCGTGGGTACTCATTGTAAAATTTTTTGATCCCAAATCTTATCTTGTAAAAAAATTATGGGTATTTGGGTACCCGTAACCTCAAAAAATGGGAAGGATATGGGTATACTCAAATACCCATTTCCCGTTGATCACCCCTAGAAATTTCTCATTTTCCCAAATATGTTATTTGGTAAAAATCCGATGAATGAGAGATTTGAACGAAATATCTCATTGAAAACTCTCATTCAAATAATTCTTTGGTGATTTTGTCCAAAATAATATCATCATATGTATACTTATTTGTGTTGGTTTACAATTCAAAAATAATATTCAAATTTATGCAAATTGTCTTAACCCACTCGTAAAATCGCATTACTCCACCTAATATATGATATATTTAGGTGTGTGCGGTCACGTTTAAACTCATACACTTAATTTAATTGTAGAGGAGTGAATTAGAGCATAAACCCCTGTCAATCCACCCAATGCTCATCCCAATTATGTAGTTTTTTTTATGGTCTAATCTAGCTAGTTCAAAAAAAAAAAAGGAATGTGGAATTAAATGTTTTACTTACACGTGGACGTGACATTTCTTGTGATCCGAGGAGATCGGGCTCATCCCAACATTAGAAGATCCGATCCAGAACGGGTTAATTGCATGGTTGGTCACTGAGATTACAAAAAACGTTCAAGTTTGGTCACTCTAAATATTTAAATCCATTGGTGGTCACTGAGATTACAAAAACCGTTCACGTTTAGTCACTCTCCGTCCAACTCCGTTAACTTTAGCTGATGTGGCAGTCAACTCTCAAAGTTGACCGTTAACTTAGTGACGTGGCAATTAAAAAATAATAAATAAAATAAATTTAATCTATTTTAATGTCCAGCTCATTTTTATCATCAAAAAATAAAATAAAAACTTATAATTATTAATCACCAAATTAAAAGAGGGGCCCGAATCAAATCCTCCTCCTCCCCTACCGACTCCAGATCCGACCCTAAATCCTTCGTCGAATCTCCATCACCACCTCCTCCTACGAGCCGGTCGGCGCCAGAGTTTACTTGAGGATAACTGGTACGCTTTGGTCCCTGAAACATCACAGTAGAACGCAGAACAGATTTTCCGATTACTGAATCCAAAGGGGAATTACATGAACATGGTTCTTCTCAATCAGACAAATTCGAGCTAAGAATAGAAGGAGTACCTAGAAAATTGGCCTGCACTTCCAGAAATCCGACTAGGATATATCAATACCAAGAAACCTGCAGTTTATGGCGTTTGTGAAGTAGAATGCCGCCGTAAACCGCGGCTAAACTGAAGTAACTGAAGCAGCTCTGAGATACGGGCGCATCAAAACCTGCAGTTTTACGATATCAAACTGCAGTCGTTCTATCTTTTTGGGTGAATCGAAGCAATAATAATCGAATAGAGAGCAAGAAAGATCAAAGAATGTTGATTGAGTGGGTGGGGGTAGCTAGCTCTCTGTTTCAAATTGCAACCCGTCGGATAAACTTAGTATGTGAGACCAAGGTCAGTGGATTCCAGTCTCATTCTTTTTGTCATTATCGGTCAATCGCGTACTGAAGTTGGGCTCCGGCTGGGGAGCTCCGACGAGGTGGCGACGATGCTGGGCGAGGTGAGCCAAGGTGGACGACGATGGGCCTCGTCGCGAATGTTCTCGTCGGCGGGACAGCGAGACTTGACAGAGTTGGAGGAAGGGGTGGGGTAGAGGGTGTAGGAGGTGCAGGTGATTACAATCGGGGAGCGGCGGGGACGGGGACAGAGGCAGGGACAGGGAGGGGAGCTAGCTTGTGTTGTTATACCTTTTCTCTAGATCGGTACAGCTAGCTTGGGTAATTAATACTTCCCACTGATCTACATAATCCACAAACATTCATATTAACCAATACGAGTTTCACATGCTAATTTATTGTTCCTATATTGGAAACTAATTACTTCATCATATGCCAGAGATCATCATCTGGGTTCGTTCGTTGTCTGGGTTTCTTTTGTCGGCCGTGTTTTCTTTAACCCTTATTCACCTTTCTCTTGCCGTCGCCGCTGCTAGGTCCACTCCTACTGCCCGCGGCTTCACCAATACTGCGCTCTCCCCTAATCAAGGTACATATATACAGCCACGTACATTAATTAGAAGTTTAGAACGTTTGTGTTCTTATAATTATTAATTTAATTTAATTTTATTTATTTATTTTATGGTAAAAATGAGTTTGACATTAAAATAGATTAAATTTTATTTTATTTATTATTTCTTAATTGCCACGTCACTAAGTTAACGGTCAACTTTGAGAGTTGACTGCCACATCAGCCAAAGTTAACGGAGTTGGACGGAGAGTGACCAAACGTGAACGGTTTTTGTAATCTCAGTGACCACCATTGGATTTAAATATTTAGAGTGACCAAACTTGAACGTTTTTCGTAATCTCAGTGACCAACCATGCAATTAACCCGATCCAGAACGGATTGCAACTAATCCGAGCTAAATAGTACCGGGCAGGGAATAGATTCGGTTGGAGTCGTGCCCAAACCAGAATAACTGATTTGAACCTCAACGTGGGTTCCGTCCCATAATCCCGGGAAATGGCAGCCACCACATGCTTCCCGACGTCAACTCCTTCCGCTCTTAATTGAATCGAAAACGTCACGTCGCTCCCGTCATGCGCTGCGTTGTCGATATTCAGTGTGATGAACTTCGGATTCAATTTTGTTGTTCGGATCAACCGCCGCCGGTTGGCTGTCGTCGGGAACCGTAGAAGGCGGTGGTGGCGGCGAGTCGTTGGTGGTTGTGGGATCGACGACTGCGGATGTCGACTTGTCATTGTGATGTTGGGGCAACAATGGAGATTGAGATTGGGATGAGGATGAGGATGAGCAGTAACACATTTTTGTATGGGCACTCTGTATTAGCTAGGGTTCTGAATTCTTAATCAAGTGCGATAACAAATTGTACTATATTTGGAAATCGCCAAAGGCGATCATATATACACGGCTTTTTGTGGGGGGAGTGAAAAGTGGAGAAACGATCTTGTATAGTTCGGATTTCTTTACTTGATTAGCTAAATATAAGATTTAATTAGTTGGTGTTTGTTATTTAGAAGGTTGTCTATTAAAAAACCTTGTTATATCATCTTAGTAATGATTAAGTGTGGGCGATGAAGTTAAAAGGTTACATTTCCTTTGGCGAAACTTCTATTTCACATCATCATCTATTCTTTTCCGGATAAAATGGGGCAATTGATTGATTTTCAACAAGCATTGGCAGAGAGCTCATCTTAGTCACTTAGTTTATTTAATTCATGTCATATTTGTCATTTGGATTTTTTTTCTTGCTTATTAGTCACTGACTTTAATTAACCCTTTGTTTTATCGCTGATCACTGGCCGCCCAATTTCGTTAAATTTATTTTTGTACTTTTGCAGGAAGACTCTCAAAGATAAAACTTTGGAAAATGGTGAGTTAATTAAGAATGA